TGATATCGTCTCCATCATTCCTTATTTTGTCACCCTCATCACTGAGCTGATTCAGAACAGTGAGTTAAACGGTCAACAGAACATGTCCTTGGCCATCCTCCGGATTATCCGCCTGGTCAGGGTCTTTCGTATCTTCAAGCTGTCACGGCACTCCAAGGGGCTACAAATCCTAGGACAGACCCTTAAGGCCAGCATGAGGGAACTGGGCTTGCTTATCTTTTTCCTTTTCATTGGAGTCATACTGTTTTCCAGTGCCATCTACTTTGCAGAGGTGGATGAACCACAGTCACATTTCTCAAGCATACCTGATGGCTTCTGGTGGGCTGTGGTTACCATGACGACTGTTGGCTATGGAGACATGTGTCCTACCACCCTGGGGGGAAAGATAGTGGGAACTCTGTGTGCTATTGCTGGGGTGCTCACCATTGCACTCCCTGTGCCAGTCATTGTGTCCAACTTCAACTATTTCTACCACAGGGAGACTGAGAACGAAGAGAGACAAATATTACCCAGGGAGGTAGAGAGAATACTAACCAGTGTGGTTACAGGGAATGGGAGTATGGACTCCCTGAACAACACAAATGAAAACTATTCTCAAGACAAGGCAAAAAAAATATTGAGCAATCCCAGAAGCTAGACATTTTGAGGGCTCTGAGGGGCTGTAGCTAAACTGACTGCTATAACAATGTTCACGCTATATAGCTCTCCCTCTTTCTTTTTTGAAAACACAAGTTCATTTTGGAATTTCAGTCTCTCATTTTTGCTATCTGATTTCTTGTGGCTTTTCGAATAAAAAGATGATTTCTTACCTCTCTTTTCTGATCATCTGTCTTCTTTTATAACCAATTTCTATGTTCTTAGAATTTTGTTCATTTGTTTCTCTGTCTCATCATGAATACTTATTTTCTAATATGAAAATTTATGAGCAGTATTTAATTTATTTTAATTTAAAAAACATACTGAACGGAAGCTTTCTGCCAGATATGTATTTGGCTATACACTATTTGGGTGCCACCACACAAATGAGTTTATGGCCTGGAGATTACACATTCGGGAGTGAGCCTTGTTTTAATCACTCACAGTCCGCACTGAAAAATGAAGGGATAAGCTACCATTGTGCCAAAATGGAGTTGATAACTACAACTCCCTGCAGCAGGAAGCACCTCTTTGGTAAAACATGTCCTTCTGTGTTTCCTGTGGCCCTGCCTCTGCTGCTTATTGATGGCATCTACGAGGCACTCGGCATATGCTTGTAATAGTGCTCCATTTCACTGTTCCTGTTGTTATACTGTAATAATTAATGAAGTTACTGTGAAATACCATGCAATTATTGCACTTGACAAAAACTGGGTATTTCAGCCATAGAATAATTTTTGCACATTTTAAAGAATGAATGTATAATATGAATGTTTTCATTATGGCTGAAAAGAAGAAATGGGGCTCAAAATAGGAATGAGGACTAAAAAAGACAATTTTTATACCATTATAATAACTTTGTGCACATATCATCCTATGATGCAATATGAGTCATTTTGTAATTGTGATGTAGGCAGAAACTTCTGAGAAGATAGTCAGCTGCAAAATTGTTTCATTCTATATAATTGCTAGTTAAATGAGCTTCTACACTATTTAGATTTTTTCTTTGAAACAGACAATTATATCAGTATTCATAATATTAACACATCTCTGTGGAATTGAATTGCTAAGGTCAGTTTTTAAAAAACTGCAGTGCAAATCTGCAAGATCATTGTTAAATATTCATCAACTAAAAAGAGTACAGTATGCAACCTACTGCAGACTTCAAAATAACTAAAACAAATACTATTGTAGTCTAAAATGAAACTTAGGTGGGGTTTTTTTGCAATTTAGTTTAGAATACAGTATATCCAAGTGTGTATATCAACTCTAATTGTCTTATAGGAGACATTATTTGAGTGCTAATGTGAGTTCCCCACCAATGTCACTGAAAACTCTGTTGTCCAGCCATTAACTAGACAATAGTTCCCCTTTTTTCATTGTTAATATCATAACAAAACTGCGGCATAAATATTTGAGGTGTTAAGTTAAATCTATATCTGGGATAATGATCTGCAGAAAAGCAGAAAGAGGAAAGATGCATAAAATTAGACTATGACTATAATTTCAAAGAAACTGAACCAAGCGTAAGCTCAACTAAATTCTTTCAGACTGCCTTCTTGAGCATATATGTACAGGTTTGCACTGTGAGTCAGATTAATGGAGTAGAACTCACTGTGTTGGTTTCAGATAGAAATTAAGTATAGTAAATACTGCTGTATGAGCATTTGGCTTATATATGTCTTCTTTTTTTTTTTAATTCCTGCTTAAATTAAGTAAAGAGGAACAAATCTGTAGAATCCAGTTACCAGATTCATCTCTTATGTTTTACTATTGAATATGAATCTTTTTCTCCAGCATTTTAATGTATATTTTTGTTCTGACGTATCTAACTTCTCACCCATTTCCAGCCTCAATCTTGCTCCTTCCCCAGCCTATTTGGATCTGTACTCCCCCGCCATCCTGCTGAACTTATTTTCCCAACTCACATGGCCCTGCCTTCAATAAACTGCAGTACTATAAGTTCTTACCTGCTCAAATAAACACCAGTATACTCAATGAGTAAAAAGTAAACATCAGTAATTGATTAGACATGTACAGGATTGCACTGCCAGTCAGTCACAGGCCCTCTCTCACCCCTTTGTATTGCCCTCTGATAGATGCTTATTGCTTTACATTTCATTCCATGTTTTGGTCTTCCTCTTTTGCTACTAATCTTTATGCATTCCCCATAAATGTGCACTTATTTCTTGCAAGAACTGCAGGCATGTGACAGCAAACTAATCATGCAAAAGCATATCAAAACTTTTGTGCTCCCTGCCATTTAGGACAGGGTGCAGTCACAGTGACTTGCACCAGATCCTTTACTAGAAGTAGTAAAGGTACTGATCTCTGGCTTCCTTTGCATCTAATCAGACAGTGTGAATACTTTCCTTGAAATTTTATAAGAGCAGCTAAAATTCCCCTTTTGTCCTTACAAAGGACACAGTGGACTCCTAAACATGTTTATTACTTCAATACACACAGACACATGGTGTTATAAAGGTGTGTGTTATCCATGCAAATTATGAAAACAAACAATTATGAAGGTTTTACCCTGCCCCCATCACAGGAAAAAAAATCTTGATTGCCCCAAGGCTATGTTCACTGATCTTGACTTCAGTCTAATAAGCACTTAACGTGTTTTAATGCAATCTGTCCTTACATAGATTGATGTAATGATTGGGTTGCATAAAGGCTTCTTGAAAATTTTGTTTATGTTGATTCTTCCCTTGTTCATAAGTAATTGATGGTGTATAACTATAATAATGCATGGGATCAAACTGTTTGAAACACTGCAATTGCTTTGGGAAAAAAACCTCAACTCATAAGCACTACATAGCAGATTCCTGCTGTACAGTTTCATAAAAAAGTGAAACTCACCCTTTGATTAGGGTTGCCAGATACACGGGTACTAAAAGGAGGACATAGAAAGACAAAAAGGAGGACAAAGGAGGACATACTGAATGTTTCATTTGAATCATTCCAGATTAAACCCACAATCAATACAATTTTATTACAATAGCTGCCAATAAATGTCTCTTAGTGAACCGACAAAGAAACAGTCATGTTAAATATTAAAAATAAATTCAATGGAGGCTGTTTTTCAAAATACCAGGGGTGGGCAGGCAGGTGGGGGCAGGGAAAGCCAGGGGGAAGGGGGTCCTTCCACCTCTCCCCCTCCCATACAAAATTATAACATAAAATATACAAAAGCCTGACATTTTAAAGGTTTTTATTTTTGCCTGCCTGACGGAGGACATTAGGCTAAAAAGGAGGACATGTCCTCCTTTTGCCTGACATCTGGCAACCCTACCTTTGATGGTGGCTGCAAGAGACCTCATGGTGGTCATTACATGCCCAATTATTATGTGCACAACTAGCTTTGGGAGAGAAGTTAAATGGAAGGAGGAGTAGTACGAATTCCTCTCTGAAAGACTGAATATACCTCTAGTCATGAAATGTGAGCCTGGACAATGGAGCAGGAGACTGGAATCTGCAAGTAAACCTTAGGCTGTCCTCGGAAAAGAAAACATGCTGATTGTTCAGGTTTCCAAATCTGGGGTGTGGGCTCTGGCTTGCCTCTTATGTGTCTCCTTTCATTTCTGACTATAACCAGAAACATCTCCACTCCATATGAGAGCATTTTTCTCTGGGAAGCTAGTTCTTCCCCTTCCAGTTGCTATGGCAACCATGAGAAGGTCAATTAGAGAACGTTGTGTATCTAGGGATTAGCTGTCAGATTTTAGCATTCTGACCTGATAGATAAACAGTTTCCCCTCATTTTTTACAAGTTCACTGTCCTAGTAACTGACTGCACGCAATAAGAAAAAAGAAAAAAGCTTTATGTCATACAACTTCCTTCAGAAGTGTTTGTATTATTCAGATTACCCTCTCCCAAATTTCAAAATGTACAACTAAGCTTTTATGAGGAGAAAAAAATCCACACTGTCTGTATGCCAATTTAATACTGAAAGCAAATATACAAAGGTCAGATTAACACTGAAAGCTGAATGAATATATTTGACACTGAGGACTGCCAATGCATTGCACCCTTTGCTATTTTTGGATCACCATGAATTGATTTAAACTGCTCTTGTGATTATAGAATTACAGAAATGGACAAGACCTGATCAAATCCCACCACCACTCAGCTACAACGATGCTGTACATTTATGCCATGTACAGAACAGAACATACAGTACAGTCTTGTTTGTTACATTAATTAGTTCAGAGAAATAACTTTCTAAAGTCTAAGTAGAAATGGATGTGCATCTTCCTTTAGAAATAGCATTCTTTTGACATTCCTTCTCCTGGTTCAAAAGATTAGGCAACATTTATTAGCTTAATTTACAGTACATTGGGTCCTTCACTCATAGACTTACCACAAAGTGATAACAGTATGGTGTGGTTAAGACCTAAGGGTGGTACAGAAGTTCATCATTTGCTGTTGGGCAAAGTAAGACAACTGCTTCAGGCAGAGATGCTAGTAGCCTTCAACCTTCCTTCCCAAGAAGCCTGGTCTTTCCTTTCTCTTGGAACACTAGTCCTGCTGCCCTCCGGTGAGGTAGATCACTGGTTCTTAACTTTTGTTACTCAGATGTTTTTGGACTGCAACTCCCAGAAGCCTTCACCATCAGCTCTGCTGGCTGGGGTTTCTGGGAGTTGCAGTTCAAAAACACCTGAGTAACAAAGGTTAATAATCACTGAGGTAGATAGCGTCTCTCACTGCCAGTGTTGGAATACCAATCCAATCAGTTTCTGTATATTGAATGGAGCCACAAGGAGGCAGCCATTATTTTTCTTTGTCCCAGATGGCAAGATATTTTGGGCTGGCCCTTGGATTCCTTGACCGTCTGCTTCTACTATTGTTTGATATACAACCCAACAATACCTCAGAAGAAGAAAACAGAATTAATTTAAATATTGCTAACCAACCGTATATTAATATCTTGAATGAACTAGAGCAGCTTTTCACATACAGAACATCTAGAAGAGAATTATTAATAATCAGTTGAAGAGAGTAAATGAAGTAGGACAATTGGAGTGGAAAGTAAAGAAGCAACCTAGGTAGGAATGAACAAGGGGCTCACACACTCTTTCAGCCCCAGGGCTCGTTGACATGCTTTCCAGGCAGCAGTAGTTATGGTGGCCTCAGTCTCAAACTGGAGGACATTTTTGAAAATAAAAAGCAGGAAGAGGAATATGGTTTTAAAGACTGCATTGTTGAACACTGTCTACCCAGTTGCTTTCTTCACACTTTCTCCCTCAGACAGGAAAGGATGCCTATCTCTTTTTCGAAGGCGACTCCTCCCTGGACACATCAGCTGGCTGTCCCTCAGGCCTCACTTCAAAATGCAGTCGACTTCTGGACTGAATACAAGCCAACGTCAGTCCCTGACTGAGGTATTCCAGTGATGAAAATAAGATAGCTCAACCAGGTATGGAATACTGGCATAAAATTTCATAGTAGCACAAAAGCGATAAAATTGAGACTTTCCAGTTCAGTTTGATCTACATTACGTATTACTACTGCTACACTTGCCATGATTCCTAGTTTGAATCCGACTTTTGCTGTGTCCCTTATTCTAGCTTTTGTGCTACCCAAACTCTGTGGATATTCTCAAATTAACTGGCTAATCAGTGATATTGACATAGGTCTGTCTTAACCCTTTGGCATCTGCCTTACAGTTCCATCTCTTTAGTGCACTTCCGTCTCATTCTGTGCCTTGTAGCTCAGATTTCCTTTAGTCCAATTCACCAATGCACCCTGCAAGCAAGGAATCATAGATACAGATTGAATGGGTGTTAATAATTAACTGCTGGTTATAAAGGTTGATTGGCTACAGACTTAGAAACACAAGTTTAGCCCTTCTGCTGAAAACAGGTTGTACAATTACGTAGTGTAGTCCATTCAGCCATCTCCATATGCTATCACCTAAGGCCAAGATTAGAGATGGAAACTTTCAGGAGGTACACGTGTGACCCATAAATTTCCATTGCTGCTTTCTCTCATGAGTGACTGGTTATGATAAGGCATTTAAACTTGAATTACTTTGCATGGAGATTAACTGCACATTACAGGCAGAGAAACTATGGTGTGAAACAGAGCTGTGCTTTGCAAGCAAGCCCGCTATTGCAAAGCGTTTAGTCCTGAAAAAGAGGCACAGAACTGAGCTGTGATTTGTAGAAAATTTTAAAAATTGTCAGATTTATATCTGTTTCTGCTACTCTGTTCTTGCCCCTCTCTGTCCTCTCCTCCCAGCCATTGTGGAATACAGCCCATGAGACTTTTCAGCTGAAAAGAGTTCCATACCCTTGACCTACATAATAGTTTCCAATATGTCCATGTTAGCATCCTTTCTGTTGTGATGAATGTGGAATAGATAGCAGATAATAGGATTAATTTAAATTTATACTTTCCAGATTTGACATAGGAAATTTAATGGTTGTTGTGGGTTTTTTGGGCTCTTTGGCCGTATTCTGAAGGTTGTTCTTCCTGACGTTTCGCCAGTCTCTGTGGCCGGCATCTTCAGAGGACTGGAATAGGAACTCTGTCCAGGAAATTTACTTAGTATAGGTCTCATTAACTGAGTCAAATTGTTGTCTTACCTACTGTGTGTTTCTTGAGCCTTGGATCCACCATTTGGAATAGCAGATGTATGACATGGAAGACTAATATATTACCATGGTAATTAGGATTGTACCTAGTCATCAGCATACCAACCTCTGAGATTTCAGGGACCTTGTGATGTCATAGCCAGACCTTTGTGTTATCACAAGAGCTGGACAAGCAAGGATTAGGAGTAGAGATGGAGCTAGAGCTCTGTATGACTTTAGAAAGTGATATGGAGGGAACTTCACAGATTCTTGTTCTCAGTGAAAAACCAAGAAAAAGAATCCTGGTTTCCCCCCTTGCATTGTGATTTTTCTGTGCAAGGTTTTGCTTTCTGTTTTCAGAAATCTCACAGGAAATCTTACAGGATGTTTCATTAGAAACACCAACCTCTGCAGAATGACTACACTTCCTATGCAAAATGGAATTCTCCTGTGCAAGGCTCTCGGGAAAGGGTATTGATTGAGCTGCAGAGAAGTTGGCAGTTCCTTCTGCAAAAGAAGAGGGGGGAAAGCAAGGAAATGAGACTGGGGTGTGTGTCTCATTTTAACAGGAAGCTGGGAAATCTAACTGAGGCAGAGAGAAATTTCAGCAAGGCTCAGAAACTTGTTGGGAACAATAAATTGTTTGAGAGGACTCAACATTCTTTGAACCTGACACAAGGAGCACCTGGGTAAATGAGTTTGGCACACCAGATAATGCAGCAATCTAGGTCCAAGGTAGCAAAGATATTCCGTGGTAACTGGGATGGAGGTAAAATGTGCCCAGTGCTGCAGCAGTTGCCACTATTGCTGTTAGGAATTGCATACTGCATGGGCTTACATATGGCATACAAAACATATTGAAAATTTTTCAGACCCTACACTGCTGCTTGTGGAGGGCTAGTCACCAGCATATTAGAAGTTCCCCATCCCCAACTTTCTACTGCTTGTAAAACAAGTAGGCTCATGAGTTTCAGTGCTGCACTTCACTTCCTGCCTTGCTCTAAATGGCACAATGGGTCAGAGCGATTGAACTGACTGTCCTCTCACCACGCACCCCCATGCCCATGCTTCCCACTTCTCAATGTGCCAGCATTGTGCATGCACAGATCTCTCCATGCTGAACACTGAAGTTGGGAGGGATGGGGATTACGGTTTCTCATAAGAATAGTTGACAGAAATTCCGCCACGAGATGGGTAGTGGTTGGAAAGTAATCACTTAGAAGAATTGGGAGGGGGTCAGAGAGGGAGGGAGGGAGGGTTAGGAGAAAAGGGTGTAGCAAGGAAGATCTAAGGGCAGAGTGAGAGGGGCAACGAAGTAAAATATGGGCTACTGTGTCTGATTCGCGGAAACAGAGTGGACAGAATCTGTTTGATCGGGGGGTATTGGAGTATCTGCCCTGTCCTCTCAACACACACCCCCATGCCCATGCTTCCCGCTTCTCAATGTGCCAGCATTGTGCATGCACAGATCTCTCCATGCTGAACCAGTGAGCACTAGTGCCATCTGGAAAGTGATGAAGGTTGGTACCCAGCCCTTAGAGACACGTCTCACACAAATCCTGATCTACTGCCACTTGTCCTGAGATGTGTCCATCCATGTGGAGACTTATTAGAAATATATAGCAATTTCCCCAGACTTTAGCCAGTGTCCTTAAACCTTGTAACCTTAATGTTAACCATTTAAGAGCAAGCAATGGTCCAACTGTGTAGTAATGTGGAATGAAAGCTCAAAACCCAAATAACCCTAAGGATTTAAACAACTTAATAAAACTAATTTCCTTTCAATATACAGCTTCAGAATTCTGTACATCTTTCAATATAATAAGCGTTATTTTCTTTCTGCATAATAGCTAAATTTGGTTTACTTGCTTGTTGTTGGCCACATATTAAATGCTGTAATGACCCTTTAGTATACCTTCAGAGCAGGCTTCTAATTTCTCTGCATTTCTCTCCTATTCTGTCCCTTGTCACTCAGATTTCTTAGTCTACACCATTGGTGTACGGGGAAAACAATTAATGTTAAGCAGCAAGAAACTGTAGCCCTAGTTTTTTGTTTAGATGTACCACTCAAAACAGATGGGATAAATGCTACTGCTTCATTCACAACACAGCTTCCTCACTATTCATTCATTCATTGGAAATATTTTTTACTCTGCCTTTCTCCTTAAAAGGACCCAAGGTGGCTTACATCATTAAAAGACAGTATTTAAAGCTAACAACAGTGAGTATGCAAATACCAAAAAGGATCAAACAAATACAATAGAAAAAACATAAGCAACACCAAAAACACATTCAAAGCAGTAAGATACAACAATCTATTTAACAACGCCAATCAAGCAACCAGTCACTCAGGGAAGGCCTGCCAAAGAGAAAGGTCTTCACTTGTTTGGGGAAGGACAGCAAAGATGGGGCCAGCCTGATCTCCTGTGGGAGGGTGTTTCATAGTCTGGGAGCAGCAACAGAGAAGGCCCTCTTCTGTGCCCCAAGAAGCACACCTGTGAAGGTGGCAGGACTGAAAAGAAGGCCTCTCCTGATAATTCTAACACTTGAGCAGGCTCATAAAGGGAGACACAGTATTTGAGACAGCTTGGGCCTATGCTGTTTAAGTCTTTATACCTTAGTACCAACAGCTTGAATTCAGCCCGGAAAAGGAATGGCAGCCAGTGGAGCTGCTGTAACAGGGTAATTATGTGATCTCTATAAATAGCCCCAGTCCTTCATAAAGAGTATTAAAGTAATCCATTGCCAAATCATACCTCTTTGGGAATGGGGACCCTGCAGGCCGGCAGCTAGGGTGTCAAACAGGATTCTCTCAGCACCATTTCCTGAGTTCTATCCTCCAGGAAGGACTGGAGCCACCACAGAACAGTGCCTCCAAGTCTTTTTTGTTTTTTAAATTTTTTATAGGTTAGGTGAAGGGATAGGGGACAGGGGACATGGGAATGAACAGGGGTTGTAAATCAACACGAACATTTTACAAT